ATGATGGCATCATGTCTAGTTACAAATTGTTTAACCGCAACGTTGGGTTGATAAAATATTCCAAACAAGCCACATCATGGCACATCAAAGATTATCTTGGACCAGTGCAAATTTTACAACTGGTTATGCGCAGAAACATATTTGGCACATTTGGGTCTCATTAAATTGTCCTCAAAGTTTCTGATTTTGTAGCAAGCAGCTCCTTGTCCACCACCTCTGCTGGATAAGAGCTGCTACCTACTTCTGGATATTTCGTGAGTTGTTTGGTGGGTGTTCAACCAATCAGCAAAGGCTGACCCATACTATGGAATGAACACCCATCCAATGAGCATCTGGCTGATGCATCTTGCACTGCAAAAGAAGGTGATCAGTGATGCAATTGTAATTTCAAAAGAGGAACTATCAGGTGTCAAACTGAAATTGGGCAGCTGACACAATTAACCAGTAAAATACACGTAAGATGCAGATACAGAGATTAATTCAGAAATGGTGATCAGAAAGCAAAACATCTGTGTGTGGAACATGTATATGACATAGACATAAAATGCAGACAAAGTTTGCGTACACACACACACACTTATATACAGAGGGAGAGTATGTGCATGTTCAGCTGCAATTTAATAAACAGGACACACATCTGGAGCGATTAAATATTACATTCTACTCCAGGGCCTTAATATGACCTGTTTACATCAACTGTTCAGGAATCAGAACTGAATTATTTTCCCTCAGGTCTGCAGCTTTGGGACTCACAGCCCATGTAGCACCTTCCCATGCCCCATCTGGGGAGGAACTGGCAGCCAACCACATCTTAGCCAGTCTTACCTCCATCAGCATAGGTCTCCGTACCATATCCATCCTGCAGCCCGTTATTCCAGGTGCCTTCGTACTTTGCTCCATTGCTGACATTCTGTCTTATCCCATACCTTCCCTTGAAACCATGGGTCCATTCACCTTTGTAAAGCCACCGTCCTTTGGTTTCAATCCCTAAGCCATGTCGCTTTCCTTGAGACCAGTAGCCCTCGTAGGTATTGCCACTGGGCCATGTGTACACCCCCACCACTTCAAAACCGTAGTTCCAAGAACCGGAGTACTCGCCCTGACCCTTGGGGCCAGTGCAGATGCCATGCCCATGGGCTTTGCCCCCTTCCCAGCCCCCACAGTAGGCTCCTCCATCATCAAAGTCAAACCTTCCACCACTCATGATACACAACCAAAGTCAGAAAGCCAGAGATTTCCACTCTTCTCTTTTCCTTTCTCTTCCCTTCTTCACTCTTGCCTATTTAGTCAGATTATGGCTCCATTAATGGAAGTACGATAGCTTGATTCGCTGCTGCATAGCCAGCTCGGCTGAGCCACTTTCCAAGAGCCCAAGAACAGGAAATTGCTGTGGGATAGAAGTCCCTGTTGCTGGAGGATCAGGGCCAGGGAACTTAGAAAGTTGCTCTGCTTGGTTCTGTGGAACCAGTTACACAAGAAGGCATGGGGGTGTTAGAGATATAAACGACTCACTGGTCTTGGGAACTAAGAGTGGGACTGAAATTCCCCCTCAGATGCACAGTTCTAGCCTTTACATCCTTTGGCTTCCTGCAAGCACCTTGATCAGGCCCCAGGCAAGGGCTGTAATTTTTTTTTCTCAACTATAGTAGTTATATCGGCTTTACATCATCCCTGCAGTCTCCTCAGAAATGCTCCGATGATCCATCGCTTTAAGAGCTCGCGCGGGTCGTTAGGAGCGCGCTCTCTTTAACCTTCTCCCCGAGGCTGTACCTATCCGACGTCTTGCTTCCTCGTTGCTTCTCCTCCTTCCCTTGCTTACTATGCCCTCCGCGAGCTCCCGGCCCGGACGATGCCAGCCTCTTTACCGCCCCATAGGATGTGCACGGCGCCGATTCTCCTCCAGAGCCTCTTCCTACTTTCCGCCGCCGCCTCCGCCAACGAAAAGGTCAAAGCTGTCCTAACAAGGCCATCTGCTCCCTAGAGCTGCTCCTAAAATAGACCCCCTCGCCCAGCCCCCTTTCTAGGACCCTTTTATGGAGGAGAGAGGGCCCACCCCTTTGGGGCCGGAATAAAAATTAATAATCCTCGAGAAGCAGGAGAGGCACCGAAGGACCAAGTGCGCGCTTTAAAAATAGCACCCTGGGAAGCTCTGGGAACGACGGAGCGGGGTTGGGGGGAGGGGGCCGCGGTTTCTGCCGGCTGTTTGCGCCGAAGTCTTCGGTAGGGATGTGCAAGAAGCACCTCCTAAGCACGAGGGTGGGGACCAGGAGGGCACGAATGGATCCATGAATGAAGAGGTTAAGAGGCAGGACTGGCAGGGGCACAACAAGGCAATCCGGGTTTTGCGAGCGCGTGGCCCTGTCGGCGAAGCCGTCTCGGCTGGGCATATTTTGATGGGCGGAAGGAACGGGCTCGCTTCGGAAGAGTCGGTCATCGGTGGAGCCGGCCGGGCAGAAGCTTTCTTCAAAGTTTTCGGAAAAAGCGTGACTATTTTTTGCTCTCCCCCGTTGGCCATTAAGACAACCGTTCGGTTTTGCCGCCGGAGGAAGTCGGTTTCCCTTCGTAAGCGCCGCGGCCACAAGGCGTGCTTCCTCCCCACTGACCGCCCCTGTGCTGTGGGGAGCACGGCCGGGTGCAACCGGCCATCGGCTTTGAAAAGGCGTCCCGCAGACGGTCCTTTGCCTTCAGCCGCAGAAGGTTTTGCTAACTGTAGCAACTCCGTATGTGATTTTTTAATTCGCTGCGCGGTATTAGCGCTTCGTATGTATTGGTTACTTCCGAGACCTCAGAAAACCACTCTGCTCCTTGCTCTTATTTAAGATCTCTTCCTTTGCCACTGTCGCTGCAATCACAGGACATGTTTAATCAGCATTAAAATGTTGGACTGGGGGACAGCTAATTCTTTCCTTAACGATTGGGCTCATCCGTGACTTTGGGCCAGTCACTGCTGTACATTTCCTTGAAGAGTGACTATGTAGAGCAGTTTTTTTCAAGCTTGACAACTTTAAGATGCGTGGGCTTCAACTTCCGGAATTCCCCAGCTAGCCTGAAGCCCATACATCTTAAAAGTTGCCAAGTTTGAAAAACACTGATGTAGAGTTAAGGACAGCAGCTACAAAGTGACAGAATTTCTGAGTTCACACAACACATTATGATCAAGAGATGGCACTTTGAGCCAAGATACTTTGGGGTTAGAATGGTCTCTTTTCTGACCCTAAACAATAATTATGGCAAGAGTACCAAACTCTTTGGGACAGAGAACACATTTGAATTTTAAAAGCATCGAAGTTATCATCACAAAATGACTATTACAAAATTTCTAGTGATGGATACAGCCAGTCCAAAAATACCTGCAGTATTTCACAGTAAGACAAATGGGTAACACTAAAAGACAAGTAATTTGCCCAATGTCTTATGTGGCAGAGGCGAGTTTGAGCTCCCAAACCCCAAATCACTATTTTTAATCCACAGTTCCTTTTGAAGCCTCGTTGTGGGTTCAGTATTTTACACATGATGTAGACTGCCAGTTTTGAATACAGACCAATTTGACCGTTCGCTTAGAAGTACTTTTAATGGAAAGTGGGCTAACGCTGATATATGATCAATTTATATTGAGGGATTTCAGTATCAAATACCAACACACATTTGCCAAAGTATTCCCTTTGCTAGTTATATTTCTGAAATTTATAAGGCTAAACTAACCTTATAAACCTTTGGTAGCAGGCATATCTTTGTAACCAATCTCTGAAACTTTCTACCCAGAGAACATCTTCCATGTTATGAAAACTAAAAAGCATGTTTATTTCCTGAGAACATACAGGAAACAGATGCTCTTTATACAGGAGCAGAGGAAAATGTGGAGATGTTACTTCTGACACTTTGTATAGCCATTTCAATAGTTAGCGCCAAGAATTCCACATTACATTAGCCTCCATGCTGTAATTGCTTGCATGGTGCATGCAGAAAATGCTTACAGCACTTCATACATTCCTATGTCTGCAAACCATGTTTGTTTCAGAGTTGTGAAAGAAAATCATTTCAAGCACCATCCAGTCACCCACTATCAGTGATTTGCTATTGCTTTTTTACTTAATCCAAACTAGAGTGTTCAAGCTACACAGAAATGCAGCTCAATAGCGTTCATATAACAGAGAAGCAATAAACTTCCCTGCATCATGAACAGGATACCAACCTTGGATAACTCAGTGCAGTTGCAAATAAAAGTGTATCTCAAAAGTAGCATCTTCCTAGGGAGCTTTTGGATCCCTGCTTAGTTGGTAGTGTGAAACACTGGGAGTTCTCGGCCAGAAAACAAGAGACCTCAGAACAAAGTAACGGCTGCCTTCTCCAAAATTTACAATTCCCAGAATCTCTAGCTAGCATGCTGACTGTAAATTCTGGGAGCTTTAGCTCCAACACATTTGGATGGCACTAAGCTGAATTATGAGAAAATATCATGCAAACATTAGCCATTGCCACACTAGCTGTAAGAAATTGGATAGGTTACTTGCATGGCATAAAGCTTTTAAGATAGGTTTCACGAGGATGGTTATATCAAGGGAGAACTGGGTTCTTTCATCTTTCAGAGTGAATTTCCAGTTTCAACTTATAAACATATTTGTGAATTGAAGTAGAGGGTTAATATAGCAAAGAACAAACAAACCAAGACTCCCAAGTATTGCCTTGGGAGTACAGTTTTCTTAGTTTAAGCCTGCCAAAATAGACTGGTTTATGTCATACAGATTACACATAGCTTGAACGTATTATCTGTCTCTAGCACAACACTGTCATAGAAATAAGTATAAAAATTAACTTTGAAGCCATATTTGAGAGATAAATTGCAAGCAAAATGAACAGAACAGTCTCTGCATAAATATGAAATCTAGCAAAAGATGTGCTATTCTGATATGGAGCAAAGCTGACATCTAATGGTCACAGATGTGATTGAATACTAATGTCTACCCACTATTCACTAACCACAAAACCCAAATATTGATGCTTCGGAAAGATTCCCTTTATTGTAAAAGAAACTGCATAAACATGGTATTTTAGGTTGCATTTAAAGCAATACTGAGAAGGAAAACATTGACTTCTACAATTACAGATAATGTATTCAACTCAGCAGCAGCAGATTTCGTGCATTAGAAACAAAGGTCAAATCGAAGAACTCAGCTGCTATGCTTCTGATAATTTACAATGTGTGTTTGCGTATGAGATCACACACATAATATATATACATACCTACACATACAGTCATTAGAACATACAACAATATGCGGTACTTGGCCCCAAATGTGGAAAGTGCTCGATTTCCTCTAGACTGTTGTTTTATAATTCAATGCCCTTAAAAAAATAAGCCAGTTAATCCAAACTACCGATTGAGGTTATGCCTTACATAAAATTGTATAATTCCCTAGGCTTGCTATTTGCTTTGCAGTCTTCTGATTTAGAATTTATGTAAATTGCTAATCTATGAAAAACAAGAAGTCTGCCAGAAATGCAAAGTGGTTTTATTACAAGCACAGAGAGCAAACTGCTTCTGGGATGGAGCATGATTCAGGGCAGATATCAAAGCCCTTTGTTCACTAAGGTCGACTGTTGTCAGGTGTACATCATTTCTGCCATGTGGGACATTTCCTTAGGGATATGCAGGAAGTATTCCATATAACCTGAAAGGTCTTCAATAGTCACATCATCTACATGAGCTCTGGCTTGCTCAGAGCAAGATCTGAGAGAACTGGAGGAAATTCTTGATGGTAACAGCTGTGAGTTGTCCTGCATGTGTGCTGTTCTTTCAGATGCACACTGGGGGGAGTTCTGTATGTCAGAAAACGTATACACGTTCATGTCTTGCCATTGCTTACACTGGCATTCATTCTCTACGTATGCACAAAAATTCCCTTTATTTTGTTCAGACACAGACTGGAAATCAGAAAGATCTGTGACCTTTAGAATTTCTGTGGGGAGAACACCACCACCAGAGCAATTTTCAGTAACACTCTTTGGTATTCCAATCATGGATGCCTCAGAATCTTTGAAATGTGTTTGCGTTTTGTCGAATTCAAGAGTATGACTGGCCTGTTCATTTTCAAAAAATTTCTTTGGCATATCCAAATCTTTGTTGCTTTCAGAAACATCTGTTGGATTCTTGTTCACTGACTGGCTACAGGAAGGCATCTGTTTAGCACAGTGGATGAATTTAGGAGGACGGAGTACTGGAGACTTTGATCGCCGGCGACGTTGGGTTCTAACTGCGCCTCTCAAAGGTTTTCTCAAACACCTACAAGATGAAAATGGAAAGAGATAGTAGTAGTTCACTCTGCCCAGGGAACAGCTAGACATTTAAAAGTGTGCAAAATGTGCCATCAAAGAATGTTCCAACCTTGAAACTCCTTCTGAAGAGCTCAGAGAGAACTATTCCAACCCATTTCAAATCCAGAAGTGGCCCAATCTGTAAAAGGATCTCAGATCACTTCAGGGCATTTAGAACAGCCTACCTGTGATTGGAACATTCTATGATGGAACATTTTCCATATGGCTATTAGACACTCACTACTGCAATTCACAGAGAAAGTACGTTATTTTTAAAAATGCGTTGTATTCTCAGACATTGGATAGTAATAATTTTTCTTGCCACTGACAAAAATAAAATATTGAACAACTGCTGAGATAACTCATATGATTAGCTCTTTCCAATTATATAGCAAAAACAGTATAAAAACTGAAAATAATTCATTTTAGTGAATACAGTGCAACACTTCCATACTATCTATTCAAGATGCTAAGCATTAATGTAAGAACGCAGAGCACAAAACATTTTGATTTAGCGAGGTACCACTATAGTGCTTAAAATATTCTTCATACGGTCTAAAATATATGCTTATTTTAAAAGCAGTGGTTTTTTAGTACAAAAATATAGTATAGAATTTTTTAGAAAGTTAGGAATGTGTTTATCATTTGAAAGAACCACCATCTAAAAGGTAATGATCATACAGAAAATCCTTTTGAAACAAGAAGCTGTATGAACAAACTCACGAAGAATGTGAACATTCAGACTGTATGTATGCCAGATTTCCATCTCTGGCATATATACAGAGATGGAAATCTGGCATATGAATTTGACGTTCATACAGTCTGGAGCTATACCTGTTGATTTCTAAACAATCTGTCCAAAAAATTGAGGGATACAGATCATATAGAATATGGCCTTTATAAATGCTCATCTCCACAACACTTTACTATTTTTTTGAGCACTGCTCTGGACTCTTTTAAGAGGAACTGTGTTAAAATTAATGACAAAATTAATTGGGTTGGCATAATCCCAATGCCATACCATTTAATCTTAACATCTCAGAAGGTTTTTCTATCCTAGAAAAACTAGAAAATTCATTTATAAGCAGCTCCCAATCTAAATTCAACACATGGAATTCATGAAGAAAATTGTGGCATGTCCAAACTATGGAAGACCATCCAACTGCAATATTGTTCCTAGATGCCAATTAAAGGAGCCTATAGAATGTCTTTCATCTCCTCTTTTTATTTGATCGGCTGTTGCTTTTTCTGATTTAAATCACTACTTAATCTGTTGTTAATTTTCATTGATGTTCTTTTTATTGTAAAGTGCTCTGGTTTCTTTTGAAGACGATATACACACCAGGTTTATTAATTATGTACCATCAAGCTGGTGTCGAGCCTTAGCAGCCACATAGACAGATTTTCTTCATGAACACTAGGTTGGGTCAAGACACAACTTCATTAATTTGGTTTTAATAGGACTCAAGTCTGGCTAACTTAAGAGTATGCCCAACTCTTTTAATTATATATCTGGCAATAAACTTGCATTACAACAAGTTTAGTTAAATAGCTTGTGTCATAAGACCCCAACCTTCCATTTCTAGGATTTGAATACATGACGTGGTCCTATAGTTTCCTTCCCTATGCAACTAAGCAGTGATGTGTTACTTAAAGAGGTATGCTTCAGTTTTGTAGGAGAAAGATTCCCTTTAACAGCATCTTCTCTTCCTTTTGCCACATCTGGAAAGCAAAAAACTGACAACTTGTTCTGCCTTGCACAGCAACTGAATATACCTCAGCTGCAACAGTCATAAAAACACAATAATCCTACTAAATCAAACTATCACATCTTTCCTCACCTTCTTTGTCTTTTTTTCTAACTGACCACTCTAAGAAGTTATGTAGACCAGGATATTTAACAAAACACTTCAGCACTTCTTCATCTTAATTATTATTCAAAATCAATTCCTCTTACCAGTGCCAACTTTCTTTAGATCCAAATGTCATTTTTACTTTGGATTCATCTGTAGTTTCTATAAATGATCTTGGAGATGCCCCCTCATTCACAGGGAGAGAAGCAGTGGATCTGAAATATGAGAAAAATATGTCAAAATAAGTTTAGAATTTATAATCTAACCTCAGTCAATTAAATTGCTTAGCATAGTTCACAATAAGACTGTCATTGCAAATATACAACATTTACAACCAGCTCTCCCACTACTGTTCTTTATGTCAATAGCACTCTTAGTTATTCTGAATTTTACTGGAGTAATGATATTGAGGGATAGCAGGCTTACATTTTTATACAGAAAAATAGTATGATCATGCTACCCCATATAGTGGTGCATCTGACTGATTGGTTATAATTATATTAACTGATTTTTGCTTTTAACCTTCTGATATTAATACTATGAGCTACTCAGAGTCTCCAGACATGGACCACCATGAAAGTTTCAGGAATAAATGAATGGTATTGCCTGAAATCTTTCTTTAAATTTTTCTAGATGGAAAAACCAGTTTTTCACAGCCTGATAAATATAGTGGAAATCCTTGAGTAGTTTTTAAACTTCTTACTTTTCATACTGGCTGCTTTTTCAAAAACAGTGCATGCTATTGAAAATGTTCTGGATTATACACAGCGTTGATGATGCCTGCAGAATCTGTTTTTCTGCATGAATAAAGGATATTGTATAACACTTATAGCTGCATTTATTTTAGAAAATGTATATGGCTGCCCATCTTACATATGAACTCTTGGCAGCTAACAATAGTCAACAAAAACATAATAAAACCTGTATAAATCATGCAAAAAAAAAAAAAACCCTTAACACCATTAAAATAATTGTAATACAATAACCAAGGAACAAAACCACACCTATATTGGGCTCATCTAACATCCCGTCCCAGCACCTGGGGAAAAAGCCAGATACTCACAGCCTTCCAGAAGGCCAAGTGGGTTTGGACCCTTCATATCTTGAGGAGTAGGAGGCTGCCTCATAGGGCAAGCACCACAAAAAAGAAGGCATGGCTCCTCAGTTCCACAAGATGTTTAATAGAGAGGAACTGGAGTACACCTGCCCTGCCAGGTCTAATCTGCCCTGACAGGTAGATACTCTTGGAGACCGGCAGCCTGGCCCTGGGCCACACAAGGCTTTAAAGGTAATAACCAGGACCTTGAACTGCACCTGGAAGCACACTGGGAGACAATGCAGCTCGCATAACAGCAGCGCTACTCTGCATTTAAAAGTGGCCTAGTAATATCACTGAGTATTCCCTTTTAAGCTTCCCAATTTGCAATCTACTTATGAGAAGAAAAGAGTAATGGGATGAAGAAACAAGTATATGAGATCCCCAACCTTGTGGGTCTGGCTTGTTTGGCATTTTATGAAGGATTGTGGAAACAACAGTAAAATAGCTGTTTTAGGGAAAGGGCCAGAGAAGCCAGGCAAAAAAAATTATGACACCACTGTTTACTTTATTTATGTATTCATTTTATTCTGACTCCAATTGACTCTGGCCAGCTCACAGTATAAAAGTATTACTGTTGTTGTTATTAACAAATAAACAATAAAAAAAGCATATAACAAGTATATAAGATGGCAGATCTGGGTAACAACAAAACATATAATATACCTACAAAGGGCTCCAACCATCCTAGCCCAAAGCCTGGGAGAACAGCCAGGTCTTTAAGGCCCTCTGGAATGCCATCAGGGTGGGAGCCACTCGGTGGGGAACCTCATTCAAAAGGCCAGGCACCACACAGAAAAGTCATGTTTCAAGAGTCCTGACAGAAGCACTGGTTAATCAAAGGAACCTGGAGCATGCCAACTCTGTTGGAGTGAACCAGCTGGGCCAACACCATAGGAAACAGGCGGTCTCTCAAACACAAGCAATAAAAAACAGCCCCATTTTGATAAACAGGGAGTCAGAGGGGGGTGGATATCCATATGAAAAACAGGAGAGAAGGGAAAAAACCACTACATAAAGGACCTTATAACTTTAAGGTAAATATAAACCAGTAAGAACATGCATTTACTAGGAAAAGTGTTCTAAACACTCAAAAGGCATATTATGCTTTATCCTTGGTTTCTTACATATAAGGTGGACTGGGAGGAGGCACAATAGAAATGGTATAGTTTTGAGTAGTAGATGTAGAGAACAACCTGATCACATATATTTAACTTCTCTTCAGAATCAAGTAACGAAAGTGACAAAACTAGTTCTCCTTTTATATATCATACTGCACAAATATGCTCAGTTCTTACTGATTAATTACATTGTTACTTACTGTTCTGAATCAACTCTTAGCTTTTTGAATGCTGCCTGGAGGTTCTCCTCATTCTCCAACATTGTTAGAGAACAATCCACTGCGCTCTCTCCCCTTTGCACATAAATAGAAAAATAAACTGAGATGAAAATACAGGCAACTTGTTTGTTTGTTTATTTATTTTTCAAATTTAGATACCACCCATCTCACAAAAAAGTGACTCTGGGTGGTTCACAATAAAACAGCAATAAATATTAATTAAAATACAATAAAAACAATACAAAATACGATAAAAATAGAATAAAAACCAAACACATATGCAAATAATATCTTCCAAGATGCTGATGATCAGTAAGATGTTAACATATGGGAGCATCTTCAAGATGCTAGCCACGCCCAGGGTTGGTTGACCCTTGTTTTCACCCCATGCCAGTTGGCAGAGCCAGGTCTTAATTGCTTTCTGGAAGGACAAGAGAGTTGGGGCCTGCCTCACCTCTAGGGGGAGAGTATTCCATAGGATAGGGGCCACGGCAGAGAAGGTTCTCTTTCTGGACCCTGCCAGTCAACATTCTTTCATCGATGGGGACCGCAGCATACCCTCCCTGCCTGGCCAGGTGGGATGGGTGGATATAATGGGGGTGAGACGG